TCTTTCCTGAGTCGGGGCGGGGGGGACGGTGGCAGGCAGGTAAGTGTTTCTGGGTAAGTGGAAGTTGCCTGGTGCCTTGGAGTTTGCTGCTGTGGTGGTTCGCCCCTTTCTCCCCCTCCCCGCACCCGGAGGGAGTACAGGCTTAAAAAAGGTGCTTGCTGGTTGGGGAGGCTCTCGGCAGGGTTGGTACCAGTCAGAGATGCAGAGTCGGTCCCCCGGGCAGGGAGGTGGAGGAGGAAGGATTGGCTTCCCTTTATAAAGGCTTGCAAAGTGATATCCCCTTTTCTTGCCTTGTGTCTCTGGGGTTGGCACTGGTTTTCTGGCTGATCCTGGCCTGTTGTCCATTGTTCTCCCAGGTACCACGAGGATCTTCCATAGCTTTTTGTTCAATGCTCTTTAGCAAGTCTGGCAAGCACATTGGGCCAAGCTTCTTTTATTACATTTTGTCTTATACAGTGTGTGATATGGGAAGGACCTGGACTTGACTGAGGCTCTGAGAGCTACCTCTAATAGCAGTGTTAGTAATGCTGATAGCATATTATTGAACCAGGCATCCTTTGGAAGACTGGTTATTCCTCTCCTACCCTTGTCTGAATATCTGATTTTCTGTATATCTGTGTTAGCAAGGTCATAGGGTGTTTGTGTCATGAACCGTGCATTTCAGTCCAGGTACATCATTAATCTTGTGTTGGCAGCATAACGGGCTGTCAGGAAGGTTTGGATGGACTGGCCTCTTGACTCTTGGCGGATATTTATTGTCTGCCTGGGAGACACAGAAGACTTGAGCAGATAGTGGGGTGTACTGTGCTCATGGCTGCCTTGTGACTGTCTGCTAAAAGCTCTGCTCTGGCTCTACAGGTATAGCCAGAGTGAGTGGCAGCTGATCTTTCGCATCAAAAAAATTGTCAGTCAGAAGGCTGGCCTCCTGCCCAGGCTGTGGTGGCTGGTGTTTCTCTGCCAGCCTTTATCAAAGGTCCTTTGCTAATAAGACTAATGCCTTGAGGAGGCACTGTGATACTGAGGAAGGGGAGCTATGATCTTACCTATTTCATATACCAAGACAGAAGCTGAGAGCAAAGCTCTAATTCCCTTTCTGTAACACTGGGAAATTACTTAATCTCTGAGCCTCTGTTACTCTACCTATATAGAAAGAAATAACGCTTCCCTCCCAAGTCAATGAGCTTGGCAGATTGAGAGCAGTTATCAGACTCTAGTGTTGGCCCATGTTTGTGCTGACTAGGAAGAGGGAACTAGAAGCAGGGAAAAGTGGTGGTTGTGTATGGTGTGTGGTTTTTTTTCCTCCCTTAAGTTCTGACTGCAGCAGGTGAAAATGCACATTAGGTGTTTTCCAGTCTTTTCTCTAATGCCTGTGCTCCTTGAAGATCTGAATCTTAATTCAGAAGACCTCTCAGGTGAGTCCAGACAGGGTTGAGGGAGTGGACTCAAATGGAAAAAGCATCAGAAAACGTACTGTCTTTAGAGCTGAACGCACAGTTTTCTTTCTGCACAGGCTGGGCAGACTGAATGCTTCTGTGTTTTCACTGGCTATTACTAAGCATAACAATGTCCATAGTGACAGGAGTTGCTTTGCTGTTGAAGTTTTAACCTCTTTGCAATGTTTCAGAGGCAGGGGTGTTAAAGAACTACAGACCTCATATCAGGAGGGTTATGAATATGCCGGTCCAGCCCTGAAAGGAAGGGTGACTGAGGAGGTGTCTGTGTATTTATCCTCTTCCTAGAGGAGAGCACTAAGAGATAAGTGTTGATTCTTGAAGTACCTCTTCCTAGAGGCACGCTATTGTTGTTTTATACCGCAGTTATTTCACATCAGTTGGTGGCTCCTGACTGACATGAGATGGCTGGCTGCTACTGATAAAGCAGCAAAGTGAAAAAACAGATGGCTCATTGTCTCATGAATCTGTCATAGCTATGGTGTTTCCTAACAGTTTCCAAAGGCTGTATGGCTTACCAGACACAGCAGTACCCATAAAGACCCTAAAGCTTTCTAAGACCCTATGGTACCTTTGGGTGAACAGAACTGCTTTCCAGTGAGTTACTTGCCTTTGGAGTGAAGTGTCTGCTTCACATCAAAGTTCCCATTCTCAGACCACAGCGCAATGGTATCCCATATCTCAACTCTTACTGAGTTGTCAGCCCTTAGGGCATCTCTCTGATTCATCTCTTACAGCTGCCTTTTAGACAGCTTAATTTCTCCTTCAGACAGGAGTAAAATTGATTAGGTTTTCACATACGTGATACTCTTTGCATGTGGTCTCCATTAGGGCTGACATACTGTGAGCAGCCTTAGAAACTGCAGCCCCTTTTATATCCACAGAGGGAGTTCAGCCCAAGTCATATGAAGATTAATTTCACTCACTGACCTTCAACCCTGTTTTGAAAAGTTCTCCTATAGGAGTAAAGAGATGGCTTAGGTCTCGAGTTCTCTGTGGAGAGAGTTGCAGAGATGTGAACACTTGTCCATGAGGCTTCCTCAATCTCATACTTCTATGTATGTCCCAGTTCCCTTCATGACTTAGGTTTAAGCAATTTTTGTGTAAATTAGCTTTCTGATTTCCTTTTTTTTCTTCTGCTTCAGGTGCTCTGCAAATATAATGACAGAAGTTAGTCAGGCTTTTCTAGTTAGACTCTCCCATATCCCTCAGCTAGTTATGGGAGTGTTCGTTTTTTGCAGGGAACTTGAATTCAAATCAGGCTGGCAAAGTTTCTTCTCCTGACGACAGACAACCCTTTCTGCAGCTTACTTCCCTCAGACTTTTCTTCTTCTGGGCAGCATTCAATTGCAGCAGAGTCACCATTTAGTAAAAAAATTGTCCTGTCTCGCCTGTCTACATTCTCAGAAGAACGGCTGAGAGGAGGGCCAGGCTAGTGAAGTTCCTGCCGTCCTCTGTTTCAGTAACTTTTGTTCACTCCCTTCCCTTAGTTCCCCAAAGGTCCTTCCATTAGAAGGAGACGCCAACATCTTATGTCCTTGTTTGAGCCTGTAGGCAGGGTCATAGTCCTGAGGTGAATTTGGATGTCCTGGACTGACTAACTCTATCCTGTGTTTTGCTGAAGTAGTATCAGTTAGGGCTGGAAGTGGCAGCTGGATTTCTAGATGGTGTGTCAGGAAGCTATATTTTTCCTGATGCAGTAGCACTGACAGGTGGAGTCTGAGACTCTGAAGTCCTCCTGGTGGTTCTCACCATGAGAAGTCATACTGGGCTTCTAACCTGTTTTGACCTGTGGTACTCATGTAGTGCAGAAGCTATTGCTGCTGCCCTTGCCTCTCCACTGAGGGCTATGCGAAGAATTTTTCCCCTTAGAGGGCAAATGAGTCTGTCTTAGGACTTATTCCTTCTTTAAAACTGCTCTCTAAGGTATTAGATGGACCATGTTTGGGACTGGTTTTCTGTTGGCATCATTAGTCTGACTTTATAAATACATATATCTGTATAGACTCTTGGGGAGAAGTATTTAAAGTCATGCCTAATAAAGCATTTTGAAAGGACTTGTTGAACAGGAACATGTGTTCCTTTAAGTTGCTTCAGATCAGTATTATGGTGATAGGATTTTTTACTGGTAATGCTGCTTGTTAGCTTTTCTTTCAAAATTTTAGCCTAATTTTGAACATGTGATTAAAAATCAAAGTATGGACATTGCTCTAAGTGTATGAGAGACTCTCACAGCTTAGTTAAAGGCAGTCAGTGTAGCTTTTCCTGTTTCTGCTCTTTCTAGCTAGAGGTAATTGATGTTGCTGGTAGTAGATTGTGGGGGTTTTGCCATACGATAGAGGAAATGAGATGGTGCTGCCTTGCCCAGCCTCTAAGGGAAACTGTGAATTCCAAGGGAAATCCTCCAAAAAGCAGATTTTGAAGAATGGTATTGATTTCTTCCCTCCAGACAATACAAAGAGCAAAGTACTTCTTTACCTGCTGAAAAATTTTTTGCTACAATACACTCTTCCTCCTGTGTCTTCAATTCTCTTGGACCCTTTTGGAGGACACTGGAGTTTGGTGATTTAGAAAGTCTAGTTTTACACCTCTATTTTATAAGAACATAGAAAATAGAATTTGCTGCTCTCTTCCTATCCGTAACCCCTTGCTGCTTTCTTTCTGCCTTTCTTAAGGTTTGGCCCCTCGAGAACAGGATACTCTTATTAGGTGGGCTATGCAAACAGTGTCAGTGTTACCACTCCTTGAGACAAGACAGGAGGTGTCTAGCCAGTACTGCTGTGTGCATACTAGCTGTCTGAAGGAACTTACATGTGCACTTCAAAGACTTAAAACTTCTCCAATATCTCTTCTTTGCTAAAAATGGTGCTGGTATTCTGAACTGTGAACTAGGGAGCTTCTAGAAATAGAAGTGAAGGCTGGGTCTTCCTCTGGAGCTGGAAGCGTCCTCTTTTCTGCTAGCAAAGACTGATATTTAACCATTTATTTGGGATATTAGTTTTCTTAGACTGAGACAGATAACAGTCTAGTCCTAGTCATTAGACTAGAGCAGACTGTGGCCTATCTTGGCCCTTGGCACATATTACTTAAAGTAAAATGGTATAGTTCTGGTGTGGAGAGGTTTTTTTGCATGCATAAGGAGAATTCTTTCCAGTATTAGTCTGGAAAATTGGTACTTTAGAGGCTTTTTTTCTTCAATGGGGGCAGTTAAAATGACTTAGAAAATTTCTTCAAATGAGCCTATGAGAAAGGAATTGTTGTGCATAAGGCAGCAGTGATTGGTGGTGCATGATAACTTGCAGAATCAAATGCTGAAGTTCACTGATCCTGTAATTTAAATGTTTTTCCAGTCTATTGTCAGACCTTCAACTCTGCTTTGAGTTGTCTGTTTTGTGCGTATCTGGCAGAAATGGGATGAGGCCAGAGACCCTTTTCAGACCCAGCACAGTTTAGCAATGCAAAGAGCCGTGAATTCTGCTGCAAAATAGTGTTGATAAGCCCAAATATTTAAAAAAAGAAAAAATACACACATTTTCCAAGGCTTCAGCTCGTTTTTCTCTTCACTAGAAAGGAAGCTAGCTATACAAGCATTAAGGCTCAATAAACACCTGTCTAGGACAGGAGAGACTAACTTACTGATCCCATCTTTATATTTACTAACTTCTGAAACACATGCACAAAACTGCTGGGAACTTTACTTCCTTGTGGCTGATGTGTTTGCTGTGTATGTGGCATTTGGCATCACTGTAGTTGTGCAGTCAACACCAACTCAGTTTTGGGAAGATCTTGTAAAAGTTAAGGATGGAGAGACCTCTGCAAGGGTTCCTGTACAGAGCCTTCTCCTAAATCACGTTACAGGATCCCCTTTCTCCTTTAGTATTGGCCTCATTAAGCCCTTTCACACTTGGTATCTCTAACAAAATGTATCCTGCAGAGTGGAGTATTTTGTTCTTACTCTTTATGGCTGCCAGGCTTATGGAAAGGCAGGCAGCCAATAAGAGTTGTCTTCTGCTTGCATTGATGTATCTGATCCACGGAGGGAGGAGCAGTGGGGAGTTTAGGTAATACAGAAAGAGCAGGGTCAAAAGAGCTTCAGTTGCTCTTGCTTGATATCTCTGTTGCATGATTTTTTTTTCATCCTGCCTCTATAAATAATCTTTACTTTGTTCTGCAGCTTCACGTTCCTCACGGAAGTAGGACGTGGGTCTTCCCCTGAGGAGAAAGTCTGCTGTGTGTTCACCATCACCTAGGAGCATGGAGAAGTTAATATCTGAAAAGCCCGTTTCTGCTCCCAAGGTACTGTTTGAGTGAGGCTTTAAGCCACATAGAGATCCTGGGAAGGGTCCCTGTTTCTCTGGGAAACATGCTGGGAACTCTTGCTAGGAGAAAGTTTCTCTGTGTTAGTTGTTACAATTGTTGCTGGTTTTGGAGCCAACAAAACACTGGTGCTATGTATCAAAGACTTCTGCTGTCACAGCTTAGGGTATCCTCAAAAACAGTCTTTGTGTGTAGTTAAAAAAAAAAAAAAAACAAAACACCCACTTAGCTGGAGCCTAAAGCTCAAGAAGCCAGTTGCCTTCTGGCTTGGGCTCTGACCTACAGTCAGTCCTAGAAATGGAAGATGGATTAAAACTAGAACCTCTAGATTCCTGAGATACAACCTCCATGGCAAAAGACAAATATAAGGTGTAAAAAACCAATGGGTTAGACTTTTCAACAAATTAGACATATTTCATTTTCAGATTCTCTTTCCCAAGAACTAAGGGGTATTAAATAGCAACATTAATAGTGAAGCATTTCAAAACATGAAAATTCTGCTTTTTAAGATGCAGCTTGCCTTAAAATTGTTATTACTTTAACCAGCTGTGGAACAGCTTCCATGCCTGCTGATGCTAAGGCATCTATTGGGAAACCTAGTGAGTGAAGTGATGGCATGTTCTTCCTGAGAGGTTTGTAGTGTTCCCTGGAAAGCTCAGTAAATGATGGAGTTTTAATAAAGGTCTTCTGTTTGTTTGGTTGAATGCAATCCAAGTTAATGTTGTTCTTGTTTTGGGGAAGACTGCCTGTTTTACTACTATAAGAAATTGGGAAAGCCCTATTGGTTTTCAGAGGAATTTCTAGACTTCTGCCATACCTCTCTAGAGGCAGGTCCTAGTGAAACTAATGGCCTTTTTGAAAGCATTCTCCTCCTTCATTACTGCAACTAGTAGTGCAGAGTCCTTTAGCACTATTTTCTAATCAGCCATGGTGTGGTCTTACTCTGTTCCTCTCTACTTAGAATGCAGAGAATTCTAGTTCTGAGAGCTGTTTTTGGTGTAGGAGCAGCATCTCCCATGGGATTAGTCTTTTTTGGTTGCTCTTGATATTTTGGGAGGCTAGCTTCAGGAAGCACAAGCTTTAATGTGTTTGTTAAGATATCTTCACACAGGGTACTGTCTTGAGCTTTGCACTCAACATTGTGGTGCATTCAAATCAGGCTTCCTGTTTTGGTGATAAGTGCTTGGCAAATCAAAATGATGCTAAAATGATTCCCTTCTTTGCTATGCAAACGTCAACTGACCATTAAAATATCCATTCATTGTGGTCCCTTTCATACAATGTCAAAAGCAAGACTTGGGTACCTGAGGATGGGATTTGTCTAAATGAGATGTATTGTGCTCTCTCTCTCTCTTCACTGATGCCCTGTCTTAGGTAGGATGCTAGGATTTCCTGTAGTTGGTGGCAGAACCTGTTTTTGGATGTTAGAAATATCTACTAACTAGCATCAACTGTTGCTGTTGCCCATCTTGACTTACAGGCCATCCTGCTCTCTGAAAATCACCAGGGTAGGGTGGGCAGGCCTGGCCAGGCTGCCCTCAGAAAAATTGCATGCTGAAACACTAGGCATGAAATAGATAAGTTGGTGAAGGCCAAGAACATGAGGTCTTTATTAGTTACAGTGATTTTAGTTATTGCAGGAGGGTAGTGGTGTAACTGCAAATGGATTAGTGATGTGACTGCAAATGGGGGTCTTCCTGTGGTGTCTCAGAACTTGAGTAACTCTGATGGTCTCAAAGGATGTGCTCGCCCTTTTACAGCAGGGTATATGAATAACAGCAGGCTTTCCTTTTTCAAGGATGAAGCGCTTTCATTTCCTTCCCAGGCCAAGCCAGATACAAACTCGTGCCCTCACGCACCTGGCAAGTATTTCCTCCCTGGTGGGATGGACAATGAGCACTGTAAGGCTACTGAGCAGGAAAGGAAGTGGATTCGCCCCGATACACCTAGCAAATGCACCTGGAAGCTTGGGAAACCCCTATCTGCCTCCCCGCATCATCATGCTGCTTTGTAAGCATTGCTTTTCTTTGCTTGCTGGCTTTCAGTAAAGGGCTAATTCTGGTCACCTCGGAGAGCCACGTGGGCTTAATAAAAGGTGTCAGGTTTAAATTGGTGCTGCTTAGCTTATAGATGTGCTGGTGCTTTTTAATTTTCATGAAGAAGCAAAACTGAGAATCCAAACTAAGCGTAGGAGATGGAAGACACTATGTGATGTGAAACTGGATGAACTGGAGCTAACTTTAAGTAACATGATATACAATTCCTTGACTAGATGAGGAATTACACTATTAATGCCTTTTGTTTGAGAAAACAGCTGACTAAACAATGCTAAGCTACTTGACACCAGGAGGAAGTGTAGAGCACATCATTCTTGGCACAGTGCTTGGCTTGATGTCTGATTAATCCCTGAGTTTTGAACCAGGCATTTGCTGTTTTACGAAGCTGTCTCTAATAGTTTTTATTTCTTTTAAAAGAATGTTCAAGATAACTAGCCTGATAAAGGGGAGGAAGAAAGTTGTGTGCAATAAAAAGCATCAGAAATGCTGTGTTGCTACTGTGTAATATGCCTGTGGGTCCTTCTGTGAATCCACTGACTTTGTTTGTATGTGTGCTAGGTCAGAGCCTCCAAACATCCTGCCAAACATCCTGACTAAAGTTGGCAATACACCCTTGGTGCGAATCAACAAGATTGGGAAGTACTTCGGGCTGAAGTGTGAACTCTGTGAGTACTCCTTCAGGCAGAAGAGCAAACTGAGGAACAGTTTCACAAACATGGATAGCTCTGTTTATTTCATGAGACCTCTGCATTCCTTATATACTCAGACCCTGTACAAAATGAGAGAGGGGGGGGGAAATCCCTCTTTTCTTCAGCAGATTTTCAGGTTTGGGTTGTCTAAAACTTCTTCCAGTTTTCACTTCTTGAACGTTTCCTGTGAACTTTTCACTTCCATGGAACAGGTCAGGGTAGGGGGAGGAAAGGGGCAGGGGGGAAAGAATATATGAAACTTTTGACTGCCACTGGTGTTCAGAGTTATCACCAGTGCCTGTAAAATGAGGATCTGCAGTTATCATTAAAGATCACTGAAAATGATGATAAAAGAGGAAATGATATCAATGAAAACTCTACTGTGCAGAATTTAAATCTGTATATATTATTTGGAAGCTCTGATCAGAGTCCTGAAAGGTGGTGTTTAAACCATTAAAGGGATTAAAGCTGGGAGTACTGAAGTGAAAGTATAGGCTGAACAAGGGGAAAACTTGCAGTTGGATTAGATTTCCTTTGGCTAGAGAATCCAGCAGGGAGGAAGCAAGGCATGGGTAGAGCATCTTCCCTGTGCTGTTCCACTGAAACAGCTCCGGGGCTTTTGATCCTTCTGATGAGGCTGTAAAACAAGGATAGGAAAGGTGAAAGGAGATATAATATTTTTATGATGAGGTTGGTAGAGCGCAGGTTCCAGGCTGTTGTGGCCAGGAACAAATTTGCTATGTCATGGTGACCTATGACCATGGAAATGCTGTGGACTGAATCCTCATGTCCCCTGCTGTAAGCAGTGAGGTGAATTCTGCTGACATCATGTTAACCAAGTTGTTCTTCAAGATTAGCAGCCTGCTGTGTAAGAACTTGGCTTGGTTTCTTTGTTCCCAGTGGCAAAATGCGAGTACTTCAATGCTGGGGGCAGTGTGAAGGACCGCATCAGCCTGAGGATGGTAGAGGATGCTGAGAAAGCTGGGATCTTGAAGCCTGGAGACACAATCATAGAGCCAACCTCTGGAAACACAGGTAGGGGATGAAGGAATCTTGGCCAAGCGTGGAATCTTTGGAGGCTTCCCTGGAAGAGGCAGACCTAAGACTGAAGCATGGAGGCTGCCTGTGCAAAGGGAAAAGGGAATCCCTTCCTGCCTGGATGGTGTAGGGAATGGTGTAGAGTTCTTTCTTATTTCTGAGAGATGGGAAGGAAGAAATGAGCTGTGCTGACCAGATTAGCCAGGAAGGAGGCTTGCCAAATTTGCAGAGGCTCTTTATTTTCAAAAAGAAATTGTGAACAGACTCTTCCAAAAAGAAATTCAGATCATATTCACTAGAGCCCTTAGATGCTAATCAGAAATTTAAATGTGAAAATCCTGGAAGTTAAACACCAAAAGACCAGTGTGAATCTGGGCCTTCTCCTATTTGGGAAGTTCTGCAGTCCTTGTCTCTGCACTCTGTCCGGTGAGGTGGATATGATCTGAGAAATAGCCTTTCCAATAGCTTTGCATTTGAGATGAGAGTTGAACTAATCCCCCATACCATTATCTGCTAACAGCCCTTGCACTTTTTTCAGCCGATTTTCCTTGGGCCGGCATCTTGTCCTTGAGGAAGGCTAGAAGAAACGGCCCCACCAATCAGGGGCCAGGGAAGAGCATGTGATGAATGGGAGCAGACTAGAGTTAACTCTGGTCTCCTGTTCTGAAGCTGTTGTACTTCTATTGGGCTGCCCTACTTGCAGAGAGTAAATATACCTGGAGCTCCCCAAAATAGCAGAGGGCCTCCCACCTAAGCCATTTAAATATAAAATCTATGCTGCCCCCTCTGAAGAGGCCCCTGAACTGCAAACTGCTTTTCTGCCTTAAGTATACTGTAGAGGTGTCACCAGATGCCTTAACCTGTTCTTATACTATTTCCTGAGTATTTATTGATTACTTCTGATAGATACAGTATAATTAGGCCAGACACACCTTTCTTTTGTTCTTTTGACCCAGTCCAAATTTTGATATTAACGGAGGGGCTAGGATGAGTAATCTGATCAATGACGGGTTCACTTGCCTTCAGCAGAAATAGCTGGGAAGCCTGTC